ATGGTAGACGAACGACGGCAACGTGGTAACGACTAAGAAAGCGAATGACGTTGGTCAGTTTGCGGAACCGTTAAGATGGCGAACTCGTTTAACCCTTCTTTCGCGTCTTCGAGGGGGTTCCCGCACCTGTTCCACGATTCGCGTTGCAGGCATCCCGTTGGACGAATCAATGGGCGAATATGTTTCTAATGGTTCATGCGAGCCTGGTCCTCGCGGAACAGGAATGCGAGTGGTGAACCAATAGGCAAGAACGAGGCGAGACGAGAAGAACATAAAATGGTGTTCAGTGAATGGAAAGCAGGAAATACCTTGGTAACGTAATCGAAGACATTTCAACGCGTCCGTGCAACCTTCGGTGGGTTAAAAGTGGTACTGTGGCTCTACTGTAGGATATAGAATTGTAAATGAAACTTATTTTTGTTATTTAGCAATATTCGATGTTTATTTTTTATTATTTTGATTGAGAGATGTTTTGTTACTTTCTTTAATTTTAACCATCAGACGGCGGACCATGGAGGGAACCCTAATTTCAATTTAATTTAATTTTTCTAAATTTTACAATGTTCCTTTAAAAATTATTCTTCTAATATATGAAAATAAATATATGAAAAATCAATATATTCAACATTTAACTTTAGATTAATATCCTTGTTTGGGTCACGATTGACCCAGGCTCCGCTGTTCAATGATACGAATTCTAAATGATGTCGTAATTCTAAAACGAAGTAAAAGTGTTTATTTATTAATATACACTTTTATAACGTAGTGTGATTATAATGATATTTTCTAGTTTCTAGTTATATTCAGATAGTTCTATGGATAATATGTCATACAGTTTATGGCATGACATTTTTGTACTTCTCCTTCCAGTAGTCATGTTTATCTCGGAATAGATCCTTCTCCATTTTCAATTCTTGATTAATGTTCATGTAATTATTATCTTCTCCCAGGGGCTCCCAGTTCACATTGATATCCTCGTCCAACTTCGATGTTGGGTTACTAAAAATAATTATTAATAGATATTTCGAAGCAATTTCACGTAATTAGTAAGAAAAGTTACGAACCCGTCTTTGGCAAAATTCGTCCACAGTTTGGTTAAAATATTTGTCATTCTTTCTGCAGGAGAACCAGGTTCTGGTAAATTTTTGAAACCTCGAGAATAAAAGAGGTAACCCAATTCGTCACCATGTGCAACTCCTACAAAGAAAGGAATATTTTATATAAAAATTTTAATACTATTATAAATGCTTTTTGATTGAAAAGCAGCAGCTTACCATCACTAATACCAAATAGATTTTTCATAAGACCAAATGGAGCTTGATAAGAAAATAGATACTCATAAATTGCAGCTGAATTTCGAGCTTTTATGATATCGAGTGATAACAGCTCTCCCGCGTTGAAGAAAACATCATTTAACATCTGCAACGTATAGACACATTAATTTCAAATATACATAAATGCAAATAATAATAATTACCGTGGTGTATTCTTTCAAATCGTCCTTCGATACTTGTTTATCGCCGAAATAGAATTTTCTTAAACATTCACCAGTTTTCTTCTTCAAATCTGAATCGGTGATGTTCAAATCGTCTGGCAGAAATCTTTCTGGTTCACTGTTCAATACTTCAATGTCGTCTATCAACACTGTAAAATTTATGAAATAGAAAAAATGTTAATATCGATAAAGTATACAAGTGAGAAATTAATAATCTTGGTGTTACATACAACGTTGGGCATCAAATATACATTCATCGGTGACAACTCCAGTCATTAAAGGCACATTCGCAATTCTTCCAGTCTTCAATAATGTCCAGGGATCAGTTGGCAAAAATAAATCCTGTCCCAAGTCCACTTCAACAGACGGGACGAAAGCGAACATATGTCCATTCAAAATATTCTAAAATTTCAGAAGATTTGAAAAACTAAGATTTCAATAGATTTAAGAAAATATTGTTCAAATGGTTCACCTCACTCTTCATTATTTCATTCGATGCAGCAATGATATCTTTCACGTGAACTTCGGTCAATTTTTGAACCAATTCCTCAGAATCAGTAGTCTGTATTCCAAGAGCCTCTCCTAACTTAAAAGCGAGTTCTCTGGGATTGTACGTCATCGCCCATGGATTAACAATCGTTCCACTTTGCTGAATAACTGCGCTGAACAAACCTGAAATACAACAAAACAAATAGAATTCAGTTTAGTCAGAATACTATTAAAATTTCTGAAAATAATCCTCACCTTCGGACATAGGGGATAACATATGATACTCTACGGAAGCTCCACCAGAACTGTGACCAAAAATGGTAACTCTATTTGGACAACCACCAAAGAAGTGTATATTATCCTTTACCCATTTCAGTGCCATTACTTGGTCCTTCATTCCAGCGTTTCCGGGAGCACTTTTGTCTCCCGTGTTCAAAAATCCTGAAACGAAAAGAAAATCAATCGATAATGGTTAGCCATAAATTTTCTAAATGAAAACTAATCGACGTTCGTTTTATATTTATTAAATTATTTACCAAGAGCACCAAGTCTGAAATTGATAGTAACAACTACCACATCGTTTTCAATTAAGAAATCCGGTCCGAATAATGTATCATCAGCCATACCAGAATTCCATCCACCAGGGTGGAACCATACCATCACAGCTTTGCGAGCTTCTTTATCCAGAACTGGTGTGTAAACGTTTAAATATAAACAATCCTCATCGCCGATCAGGCCCTTTTTGACCATGCAATAAAAGGGGCACGTAAAACGATGCATGGTTGCATCGTACACCCCTTCCCAAGGATCCGCGGGTTCAGGTGCCTATAAATTATTATTATCTCAATATCACAGCATTTATAATAAATTTAATGAATTTGCTAAAGAATAATTCTAATCGTTCGCTTACTTGAAATTTATTAGGGCCCACATTTGGTTTCGCGTAAGGGATGCCCTTAAAACTGTAATAATGTTTATTTTTCAGTATAGTCTCGGTTTTCAATCCCTTCAGTATTCCCTGAGGAATCTCCAATTGCACTTCCTGTTCCGCATTCGCCGAAACAAATAAAAATCCGTAAAGCAAAATGTTAGCTAGCCACATTTCGAGATTCTAACTGAACTTATAGCTATCCGTTGCTTTTATAGAGGCGAATATCCTGCGATCACTCGTCCGAGATCTGAAATGACAAGCTGTGGAAAAATACATTACGTAAACGGTGTACGCCGGAAAACATGATAGTACGAGCATGGATAATCCTTGCGACGATACTTTTTTTCCTATTCGTCGGTCATAATAACGAACAACTATAATTTTGTCAAACGACTAAAAGTATAGGATATCCTGAATTTATTCTGATCGACGTTATCATCTTTATTGTCATCCCGACTTCCGGAATTATCCGGGAAAACGAACGAACAGATGAAACGTTAGCTAAATATTGTTTTTCGTAAAGCGAAACAAATTGTCAAGCATTACACGGATGCGTAATTAGACACGCATGCATGGCCATGTGTTGAGACGCTAGAATCAAATGTAATTATTTAAGTGATATTTATAACATTTGAAATTATAGTTTATTTTTAGAAACACGATTTTTTAATTCCTTTGAATTCATATTTTTTGTAAGAAAATAATTGATCATTCAGTATTACTGAAAACATTAATTTTCTGTAAAAATTCTAATTTTGGAATTTTCGTATTACAGTTTAATGAAGTCTTAAAATGAAATAAAGAAAGCCAGTGTACAATCGTTTCGTAGGTTATTAGTGAAGCAAAATCAAGGGCGTTCTGGTGGTCGAGCAAAGAAAAAGAAAAGAAGCGCGAAACCTCGTGACGTTTATTGGAGCGCAGCACGGAAAACTTGCAAGGGTGAAAATTGTAAAGTTACAACGGAGTAAAACTCACCTCTCCAACGTTTCTACTTTCCTAGTAACATATTTAATATTACTTGATATTTACGTTAAATTATTAAATTAAACAATTTGGTGACCTGGTTACACCGGTAACCTGGTACAGTCCAAATAGAAAGTGTATTCTTTTTCATCTCTTAATTCCTGTCTTATATTGATTTTTTTACATTGAACAAAGAAATGTAACTGTTTCATATGTAATAAAAATGAAACACGGTTTCATTCATGAAAATGATTAAATTGATGCATAATGAGGGATTGTTTATTATTACAATTGGAAAATTGTGAAGATAAATCAGAAGCAAATAAAATATACTAAGTTCGTGTGAAAACCGATCGAAACTTGTATTTGGGAATATTTAACCTCTTCGAATAATCTGCTTTCCTATTATTTGAGCACCACTCAGCACACCCTCTGGATTCCCACAGGATGTACATGACATTTGACGCAGGGTAGGGTCAATCTTGATTCAGATTTATAAAAAGTATTAAATTAAAGAAAAAAATATACAGATCAATGCAATACATGTTCTATATCAGATTCTTATGAATGGATATTATCAACATTTTTATACTATAATTTTGGTTTAAAATAATTATTAATTGTACTATATATACATACATATATACATATGTTAAAAAATTTTATGTGATTGAAACCTACATTCTTGATGAATGGTTACTTATTTTAAATAGTAAGGTTTTCTACTAATGTAATGATATATTTATTGCAAATATTGGTCAATATTTATGTAAAATAAGTGTGTAATCTTACTTTAGATTATAAAATGATTTAAACAAGAGTTCTTTAACTGGGGGCGTAGCTCAGATGGTAGAGCGCTCGCTTAGCATGCGAGAGGTACCGGGATCGATGCCCGGCGCCTCCAATATCGTGAAATTAATTTTTTATTTTCAATACAACTACTTTTTAATAGCAAATAATAACAAAATAATAAACCAATAATTATAATCAAGTTTTTAGCCACATTTTATTTCCTAAGTGTAAAGATTACACACATAACACAATAATATATAACAAATAGACACGTTTTGCATTTTAAAACACATATATTTCTAATGAAAAATAATTTGTAATGTTACACAGGTGTGACAGATGCATACTATCTTCAAAATGAAATTATGGATCCACCGCTCAACTATAATGGAGCAAAACGATCCCACTGTCCAGCAGTGATACATAAACAACCCGCCAACAGACAAGACACTTCATTAAGGTTAAAACAATTAAGATCGGAAATGAGTCGAGTAGCTTCCGTGCAAGGACCACCTCTTGATGGCTACATCGTTACTTCCGATGATGCACATCAGGTGATTACCACAGATGTTTCATACTACTTTAGAAATAATTAAATAGAAAGTTAGAAAATAATCTGAAATCAAATATTATTATTAACTTTTTTTAAATTAATTTACAACACTGCCTCTTTACTTCAGTTATATTTTTCTTGAATGTACTTGAATTTTCAGACAGTGAACATCGTTAATCATGGCCGAGAGGGCCCGGTGGAGGTACCATTCGAGTGAGATTTCGCGTTCGCAGATTTCTCAAGCTTCCCTTGACTTTTTTACTTTCTAATTTAACTAAAAAAATGATTTAATAAAATTTCTCCAAGGTGTGCCTTTCGATTTTCCCCAAGTACTGAAAAGCTTTCTAATCACAAGTGCTGCTATCATCCATTTATTCAAATAATGATCAAAGCCTCGTAACTTCGAATAAATGAAATTGTCAACGTCACGAGCATATTAAATTGTGATCTCTGTCATTATCAGAGCGCTTCGTTGGATCCCCGTGATATGAGGCGAGAATTCATCACTGGATTCTACGGTAGTGCCGGAGAAGCTGTTATTACCTTTGACAAAGCTGTACTTTGGACTGATGGGAGGTATCACATTCAGGCAGACCATCAGCTTGACTGCAATTGGATACTGATGAAACGTGGCAGAGGAGAAGTAAATGCAGATAGAATCTATTCTCAGAATTTTAAAAATAGACAAAAAATAGCTGACAATTGTTGCAAAAAAGAAGAAGAATTAATTCTAAGTTGATCAGATTAATTATTAAAGAGTTATTTATTAAAATATGAAAAAAATGATATAATTTAATTTAAGTTATTATTTTATGCATTTAATTTAATAATTACACAGTTATTAAGAAAGCCCTAAAAACTGAAATTGACCTTTAAATCTCTGAAAATTCATCACTTGAAAAAAATTATTATTATTGCTATATTATAGTTCTTTCGATATAATGTAATTTTTATAAATAATCTTTTTTCACATCTTGATTAATAACGGAGATAATTAAAATCCAATGACTCGTACTGTACGTAGCCATATACAATATATATGATTCGCTTAGTTGCGCTATCTGGTACCAGATGGCTAACAGAGCCAAACGTTTTCCCGCATCGGATATCTCACCGTAAGCGCTATATAAGAGCCACAGCGACAGTTGAAAGTTAAGACTATACTTCACAGGATCATTTCTGTAGTAAGTTAGTCTCCCTTCTGGTTCAAAACAGAAGTTGATGCAACCACGATGAGGAGGAACAGCTCCTTTCCTTGAGCGTGAGGAAGACTTGAGAAGCTGACTTTGTTCAGTTTCTCAGTCATCGATGATCGTTCATCTCCTGTACTCAGTATGGGGGAGATGGGAATGGGGCTTTCTGAGTGGTTTCATTATATAAAAATGTCAAAATTAAAAATATTTTATTTTGGGAAATACGAAAAAAAGAAACATATGGGGATGTATGGTATTTTTTTATTATTTTGTAATTTTATCGTAGCATCATAGAAAATTAGTTCACACTTATGTAAAGTACTATTACTACATAGGATAGTTACACAATATCTTGCAACATGTTTCAACATTATTATTGATCATGCAGGTCCCTTCCATAACGGAATGGTTGAAGCACCAGTTCCAAAGTCGAGCGATCGCGCGTATTGGCGCTGATCCAACGCTCGTCTCTGCCATCGACTGGGAAATGTGGGAAGATGAATTAGGTAATAAAAGTCCGTAAAAACATTGAACCCGTCAGTTCAAACGAGCATGAAATTTATACGTATCATCATAGCGTTCCACCCAGCAATTCGTAAAAATGAAACACTTCAATTAAGCTGCCTGTTACACTTTGTATGATTTACTGTAATATCTCGTGACTTTATCACAGTTGCTACCGTTTAAAAATCATTTCATATGATTTATTAGAGTATCCCTAATTAACAATAGCGTTCGTATCCAGCAAATTCGTCCGTGAGATTGGTTCCTGTCCATAACAACCTGGTGGACTTGATCTGGCAGGTCGGTCGACCGAATTACAATACACATCCGGCGTATCCGTTGCAAGACAAGTATTCCGGAAGAGCCTGGCAGGACAAGATTCAATCAGTTCGGGATGAAATGGAAATTTCTGGAGCCGATGCACTGGTCCTTACCGCTCTCGACGAGATAGCATGGCTTTTCAATATTCGTGGATACGATTTGCCGAACACCCCTGTTCTTAGAGCTTATGCGGTTATCACATTGGGATCGATACATTTGTTTGCGCCAAAGCACAAGATCCCAATGTCTGTTGATGTACATTTGAAAATGGATGTATGCACCCACGCGAATTGCGTGAAGTAAGTGAAGAATTATTACTGATAAATTGTATAATATTGCACTTGTAATTAATTCTGAAAATTTCTATAAGTATCACCTTATCTGTATACTCAGCTTAAATATGTTATCGGTAATGTATTTTCCTTTTTTGTTTATGTATTTTTAATTAAGGCCTTTTCATGACTCTCTTTCCAAGATTTACTTTTCTTGTGAGAAAAACAATTAAATACAATTCTTAATTAAATTCTTTCTTTCCTTGTTGCAACAGGTAGGTTCATATTTTATTTTCACTTGTTTTTCTCAATAAAAAGGTCCTATATTTTTCATATACGTTTTTTAATAAAAGCTTCTTCATGACTCTCTTTTAATACTTTGCCTAAATTGCCATTCTATATAATGCCTAGATATTATTATACATAATTCGGATATTCCATACTTTGCTCTAAAACGCCAGGCATTCTATACAATGCCTGCTTTTCATACGTTGTCGATAACGGATATAAAAAGGGAGGCACCCATTAAAGTATTAAGTATTATAATTTGTATAAGAAAAATTACTATTGCAGATGGCATAATTACACGTCCATTTGGTACGATTTGCGAACCATGTCCCAAGCCTGGAACATAGTATGGCTGCCAACACGATGTGCCTATAGTCCAGGTGCTTCCATGGAAATATTTAATTCTGTACGTACAAAATTAACAAATAATTAATATACCATACTAATATCATAAACCATTTAAAATAAAAAAAATATCAAAGTCGCTTCCTCTTTCCCGCCTAAACGCATAGGGAATAGGGGTTCGACTGTACAAGTGTTAGAGCGGATAATCCTAGGCGAATGTACACCTTCTTCGACATGTTCTCCTGTCACCATAGAGCTTGTTGAGCTTAGCTTGATCCCCATGTGACGAGCTGACACACCTTCATAGACGTGTAGACTAAACAGGGACAGGTCTCTTCCGTTCGCACAAAGTTCTCATTATCGAAACGATGAGAACGCGATTGTTACTATAAAAAACATATAGTACTATGGAAACACGTGATGCTAGACGATGTTCACGGTGGTGAATAGATTCACCTACTCCTCGGCATGGTAGCCGGAGCTTCGGGACGCCTGAACGCCCGCGGCATCAGGAGTCAGAGAGCAGTTCTTCAGCTTCGGCAACGATCGTACCCTACCACCACAATCCCTCTTTCGAATTGTTTGCATGAAATAAAAATATTGTATTTGATATTTTAGATGTTCGTTTATAAATTTAAGTGGAGGAACAAAGATTAAATTCACCACTAAATCCATCGCCAATGATAATGCATTTGGGTTGTAATTATTGAATCATTTTAAATTTAAGCCGCAGTAGGATTTTAAAATTAGAAAATTGGAAAAAATGATTTCATAATAGGTATTGAAAAATAGGAAAAGATTTAGTAAAAGATATTTCAATCATTTCTTCAGGGATATTTTTCCAGGACTGCAATCTCCAAATTGAGGAGTGGAAGATTGGTAGAAATAAGATGTTAAAATATTCACTACGAATTTAAGCCTCACCCTAATTTTACGTCCTAAAAATTTGAATGAAATGTGTAGCTTAAATTCGAAGTAATACGATATTGAATTATCAATTTGCAGATCCCACCGGAAAAACGATTGCCAAAACCATCCCCGGTATTAAGTCTAAGAGCCGAAAAGAACGAGGTCGAAGCTGAAGGGATGAGAAGGTCTCACCTAAGGGATGGAATAGCGATGTGCGATTTTCTCGCTTACATGGAGGAACAATACGAATTAAATTCGGATGGTTGGGATGAGATGCAGGTAGCCAGGCTGGCGAATGAGTTTCGTTACGAACAAGACAAAAATAAAGGCATATCTTTCCCAACCATTGCTGGATATGGACCTCATGCTGCCATCCCTCATTATGAACCCAACAATCTCACTAATATTAAAATTGGAACAACGTCCACATTGGTGGTTGATTCTGGAGGACAGTATCTAGGTAATAAGGGTTTATAATTATTTTTAACTTGATGGTCTAGTTTAATCTCATTTTTCTAGATGGGACGACGGATATCACGAGGACTCTCCATTTTGGTACACCAACGGAGGAACAGAGGAAGGCATACACAAGGGTGTTAATTGGTGCAATACAATTGTCGTCTTTGATTTTTCCAAACAGCTTGAAGTCTAATCAATTGGACATTGTTGCAAGAGCACCATTGTGGAACGTTGGATACGACTACCTGCATGGAACTGGCCATGGGATAGGGCACTTCCTGTCTGTCCATGAATGTTTGTCTCATTATTTAGTAAAAATTGAAAATATTTTTATGAATATCCTCGTTCGTATGAATCTTTCACTTCAGTCTTGGAAATTTTTTAATTAACACTTTGGATCTTAATGAATCGTCAGAGGATTTAGCAATGTTTTCCGATCATTATATGTATTGTAAATAATAAAACTATAATTTTATAAATTTCTAGCACCCATTGGTGTGTCCTACATGCAAGTTCCATCATCAGATAAAGTGTGTGGACCAGTGGAATTGAAACCAGGATTCTTCTTGTCCAATGAGCCAGGATACTACAAAGAAGGAGATTTCGGTGTGCGTTTAGAAAATGTCCTCGAAATTGTGGAAGCAGGCAAATCAGTACGTTGCTAGATTATTCAAAATTATTTTTTAAATTCCAGTTTGATCTTATGGTAAATGTGTTTTTGCAGAAGAACTCTGAAACTTTTTTAAAATTCAGAGACATCACCCTGGTTCCATATGAGCCAAAATTAATTGACATTAGTATGTTAAACCCATCTCATGTGAGTTTTCTTTTATTTAAAAAAATGAGATGGAGAATTGAGAAATACGGAAAGGTATAACTTTATTTTATATCTGTGTACAGAGACGATGGTTAAATAATTATAATCGTCGAATTAGAGAGGAAGTTGGTCCAGAATTAAAAAGGCGATTAAAAATGAATGCCTTCGATTGGATGCTGACGAAAACTGCAACCATTCCAGAGTTGAGTCCGGTCGATGAAGGACTGTTTTTCGGCCATTCTCACTCAACACCTTCCACTTTTAAACAGTTCCATGTATTAGTTGTTATTGTTTTCATTTATCATATGTTATTTAGTAAGTATACAAATATTATTTATAATTCAACCACCCTTTTCGAATTTTGTTATATTGTCAATCTTCCAGGTATACGGAGTTAATTAAAGGTAAGGAAGATTTGTAAAAATCTAGTGAACAATCCTTACTATAGCGAAATTAAAAAATTATTTGCGAAGAAAGCAAACATCTGTATCTAAATTAATAATTGTATGTTGAAATTTCCTTTCTCTTTTTAGTGCTACTGCCAATTTAGTATACTTGTTTCAGTATCATGGTTTATTTTAATAAAAGGTAGGATATAAAGAGAAATAACAAATTGAAAAGTCTTATGAGTATCGAAAATTTAAGTAAATGCATAAACAATTGTATTTTGTAAATAAACGTAATTTATGGTATTCTTCCTTTATAATTTGATTTTAATAAAGTGAATAATAAATATTTAAAAATAAAATTAACTGAATTAAAATAAGTAATTTATTTAATAATACAGTATTATTTACATATTATCTACACATTTATATTAATTTCTTAGATACAAATACTAGTCTGTCTTTTCAACTGGAGTCCAATCAATTTGCCGCCGTTTAAGTTGCTTAACATTAGGGATTTTAAAATGTTTTAAAATATTTTCTAAAAAAAAGACAATATAGTATCAATAATTGTGCAGTATAATAACATAGGTCTAAATATATATATACACTCACCCACTACTTGTTTATCTAATTTGTATTCTTGAGCTATTTGCTTCGCAGAATATTCAGTAGGGTTTTCATTATGCTTGGAAATAAAATCCAGTGCTTGCCTTAAGGAACATTTACCCTCAGGAATTACATCTGATACATAAACACCATATTCAAACAGAGGTGTTTGACTTCTATCTTGTGGTAATGATTTAGTTGAAGGTGATACTTCAACCTAATAGTACGAAAATATTTTTCTAAATCATAGATCATATATCAGTAGAAACTTTTTTTGAGATAAACATACCTTTTGATTATCAGACTCAACAAAAACTTGTTTTAATCGGTCATCCAACTGTGTATCCTTCTTTAAGTGGGTTTCCATAAAATTTGGATACACTGGAACAAAAATAAACTTCAGAAAAATTGTGGTGATTGTTTTAAGAACTGGGACTGAATGCTCTGAAAATAGCTTACATTTATCTACTATTTCCTTTTGTTTCTTTACATATGGATACTGAGGTGCAGGAGTAGGCTTCGATTTTGCAAGAATCCGCTCCGTACGATTTTCAATGTTAAATGTACGAAGTGGACGTGAAAAATAGGAATATACTTTTCCCATTCTTCTGAGATCTAGATCCAATAACAAATCTTTAATTCTGAAAATTGTAACTTAAAATATATTTTATTTATATTTATTTGAAAATAACATAATTACATGAAATCAAAATTTTAATAAAATAAGTTAAAACTTTGTATATATTTGATATAATCTATAAAAATGTAAGACTTAACGGTAGTTATAAGAATATTAATGTCTCGAGAGTCTATAACTGCGAAAGGACCAGTTTTCGTTCTTTTCTGCGCATTGTCGCTCTGATTGGCGATACTCGGACGAAGTGGAAAGCGATTGGCGGAGAGCTCGCTGCGTTCCCCCACCATCGTCCAACCTGCGCGTCGCAGTTATGGACTCTCGTGACATCAAGCATACACTTAACATAAGTGTTAGGTTATGATCTTAACCTGTACTGAATTTTGTTCAATTGAAGTACAATGTCAACCAATATATATAATTAAAATCTGCTTTTCGCTATCACCGTAGGTATTGTAATAAAAAACTCAGTTTGTAAATTTAACAATTATTAAACATTTTGAAACGGGGCTGATTTACCGACGCGAAATTCCGAGTTTCGCCTCGACGCTTGCTGTATTTACATACATACTATTAATAATATAATAATAATATTATATTACTGACATATAATTTCTTTCTTTTAACTTTATTTTCTAATACACAAAATACATTTTTCTCGTAATAAAATAAAATTATAAATGTCCAAAGATAAAGGTATTTCTGAAAAAAGTATACCGGTATTTGAATATCATTGGTTGAAATAGGACCATAATTCTTTATCGCCAAAAGCTATACTTTATTAGTTTTACCGCTGTTTGAAATGCAATGTTAATGTTGTAGTTGCCTCTGACGTATTGCTTGGAAAATAAATTATAAAACGGGTTTTATTCTTTTCGAATATTTGACAAATATTTGATGTGAGCAAAAAGTTGAGGAATACAATTTTGTAGGTTTACGAATACAAGTTGTCCGCCATTAATGGAGGGAGTTTCAGAACGTTCAGTGAAAATAGTTGCAGATGCTTGCGAAGACGCGGTGGAAAGAAATATACCGTATGTGTCAACAAATCAATAATATTACAATTAAATGTAATTTTATTCATAAAATATGAAAGCAGTGATTTGAGATTCAATGATAAAAGAGTACTGTAATATCTTTTATGTGAAAAATAAGTAGAACATACTACACTTCCGACAGCTTACGCGTAACCGCCAAAATTACGGACAGAAACGCCATCTTGTGTAAAAATGTTGACATCTTACTAAATTGGGAAAGATTTTATGATTGCTGTTTATTCGAGTCTGGTGACTCGATTTGAGTATTTATATACGTTAAAAAATGTAACTTTATCTACTAATTGACACATCAACAAGTTTTTTTATTATAAGGTGATAATTGTGTTGCTAACGGGAAATCACATTAATGAATTAACTCTTCTGTTTAGCTTTGTGTTTACAAACATTACAGCGTATGGTTTCAAGGATTTTTCTAATGATACCTGATTTTTTTACAGAAATTCATATAATATAAAGTCACGATGTTTTACGCACATTTTGTGTTGGCCAAAAAGGGGCCGCTGGCTCGTATTTGGTTAGCCGCTCATTGGGACAAGAAATTAACAAAAGCTCATGTATTTGAAACGAACATTGAAAAATCTGTAGATGGTATATTACAGCCAAAGGTATTTATGAACCACTCATTTTTTTTCATATAAACTCGTAAAATAATGTTATTTTTATATTTTGTATCCTCTGTTGCATCCAAGCTATTTTAAATTATTTATTTAATTACTAAAGAGACATTTAATTTTTTAGGTAAAAATGGCTCTAAGAACCTCAGGCCATTTATTATTGGGTGTCGTAAGGATATACTCACGGAAGGCTAAATACCTTTTGGCTGATTGTAATGAAGCATTTGTCAAAATAAAAATGGCCTTCAGGCCAGGCATGGTCGATCTGCCAGAAGAACATAGAGAAGCTGCTGTAACAGCTATAACATTACCTGAAGTTTTTCATGATTTTGATACAGCAATGCCAGAATTAAAGTAAGAGCAAGCAGTGTATAGTGACATTATTGAGTTTGCAAGTATTATTTGCTCAATATAAGTATTTTATTACAGGGATGTTGATATTGAAGCACAGTTTAGTTTAAACCAATCTCGGGCAGAAGAAATAACCATGAGAGAAGATTATGGTAGCCTGGCTTTAGTTTCTCATGATCAAGGATTTGGTGATATGAGTTTTGATGCGGAACCACCAGAATTACTGAGACATGCTGGTGCTGTAGAACCATCACTGGATCAAGTATGCTTTTGTACTGTCATGATTTAATGTCATTTATCAAGAATAAATGCTATGTTAATTTTTTAGACTCATATGTTATTCACTGATGGGCCAGGAATCGAAGCAACTTTAGAACCAAAAGAAAAAGAACCAGTTCCAGGTCCATCAGTAACAGCACAAGCTATGGATATAGACATGCCTATTAGAGATGACGGCTTCGGTGGACATCTTGGACAAGATATTATATGTAAGTAATCGGCGGAAGAAACTCCAAATCATTTTTATAATAAAATTTATGCATATTATTGTATTCCCTTTTAGCGGGAGGTCTGTTTGAGGGTGGTTTATTCGATGAAGCACCAATGGGTGAAGTACCTGTACCTGAGGTTAGTGCAGTAACAGAAGCACAAGAACCAGGTGTAGTCCCTGGTGCTCCACCCTCTGTTCACGATGAATCTGAAGAAGAAATGGGAGATCGCTTTGGAGGACCACCATCTCCAATGGGAGGAATGAGGTATTCAACTTTTTATGGTTAATTAATTAGTCATCCACTGTATACATTACATACTGCGTCTTCTTTGCAGTTCTGATGAATCCAGACCCGTTTCCCCAGCCGCGACCGGAGAAGAAGCAGAAGGAAGAATAAGTGTTGCAAGTCGGCGTTTTACACCTGCTCCGCCTACTATTCCCGAAGAGCGTCCAATGGAAGCTATCGAAGAAGCTCCACCGCTACAGGACCAAACTACATTGTTACACGATGAAGAAGAAAGTTTTGCTCTTGCGCCAGTTGATGCATCTGCTCTAAAAGGTTTGTCACATTAAAGTATTATTTCGTTTAAATTATAATATTATCTACCGCAACCTAATGTTTTAATATTAATAATTTAAATAGGATTCACAAAAGCTAAACGTAAGCGTAAGCTTATCGTGGATGAAGTAAAAAATATTTCTGGTGAAGAAATGAAAGCACAATTATCAGACACGAGTGATATTATTACAACTTTGGATTTGGCACCACCCACGAAAAGATTGATGCACTGGAAGGAAACTGGCGGAGTTGAAAAATTGTTTGCTTTACCTGGAAGACCAATACCGGCACGTGTATTATTTAAGGTAATTTCAATGTTCTTATATTTTTAAATATTTATCATTCTTAGTCTCATCTTTTTTTCATCTTGGTAATAGAATTATCAACGACACTTAACAAGCAAGTCCTATGACCATGAAGACTTTGGACGTTTAGCAGGTGAAGAAGAGGGTATGCCCTTGGAACAAATGAGAGAACCCGTGGAAGTAGAATCATTTGAACAATCTATTATAAGTAAACGCATGGGTCGTAAACGAAAAGCACCATTCGAAGAGGAGGTACATTTCTTTTTTTAACTCCAATAAATATTAATTATAAAATTTCATTACTTTATTTAACTATTCTATGTTTATTATAGGTAAGGCCACCACCTCCTGCGCCAGTACCTCCTCCAGTGGAAGCCGCCCCCGAAGCAATAGAAGTTCCAAGCATAGTTGCCCAACCAAGTCTTCCTCCCCCGGAATCCCCAGTACCACCTCCGGAAGTATCTTTACCAACGGAACCATCGTTAGCCGAAATCAGTGGCGTAGTGCCTCCTGTAGAAGAAGTAGAAATGGCACCACCAGCAGCTGAAGCACCTATGCTTCCCTCAGAAATACCTGAAATTACTCCAACCGAGGCTGTTGCCGCACCTGAAGAACCAACTCCAACCATTCCAACAGAACCGGAAGTTACAGCTGCGCCATCAGCTGAAATGCCTCAGATGGAAAATATGGGCTATGATCAGGTTAATTTTCCGTATTGCTTTTTAATATGTGATAGTACTATTGTGAAATGTTAGTTATTAATTGTGATATGTATAATAGGCTCAACTTCAAGTACCCACCTATCCCGGATATGATGAACATCCTCCACCACCCCACACGCCTGCTATATCCGAAAGAGGGCCCGCGACTCCATGGAATCACGAAGACTACGAATTCCCACCATCTGTTGGACCTGTATGTATACGATTCCAGCTATGTGGCTTGAAGCTTAATATTTATCAGAATATATTCATAAGTTGAGGCTTTCGTTTAACAGGAAGAACAACAGATAGATGAAACTTATGAACAGTTTGAAGAACGAGTTCTTAACAAAAGAGCAGCACACATGTACCAAGTTATTAAAAGTAAACTAGAAACCAAAGATAGGTTGACGCTATCGGAAATGGCATACAAAAATAATCGTAAACAGGTTGGTATTTAAAAATACAATTTATAAAAGATATTTAAAGAAATTTAAAATGGTAATAAATTTTCTGGTTTTTGTTTAGGTTGCACAAAAATTCTATACCTTATTAGTTCTTAAAAAGTTCCAAGTATTAGAACTGTATCAAGAACGCCCGTATACTGAAATTGTAGTCAACAAAGGACCAAAATTCGAAAATCCTGCATTGTAAAAGTATTAGGTATTTCTTACCTTAAATTTACTGTTAATGAATGATTGGGATGGGAGATTGTAACTATTTTTAATCTTACAGGAAATAAGCGGTTTATCTAAATTCTTTTCTTTTTAAAAGATAAATTGTAAAATAATATATAAAGCTACTGGAAGTAATTATAATTGTAAGAACACTGGTTTGTATAAAACCAGAAGACATTATTTTGGACCTTCTGCATGTTTATTGTGATAAAAAAAAAATTCATTGAAAGGTACAGAAATTTACCATTTAAAAAGTGTATAATTTTTTACTTCGAAGAAATCATCTTCATTACATTTATTATCAATCCGAACAGGGTAGGGTTTGTATATAATATATTAATGAATAGTAGACATTTTATATCTTACTATTTACAAGCAACTTCTTGAGTCTACTGCAGGACGGTCCAAAATTAGTAATAGTTTTACAAAATAATTTATGAAGTTTGATACGATAAATTTTGTTGAGATATTCGAAAAAATAATGGGGGATTTAAATCTATATATTGTATTGCTAAATTTTCTTTATTCAAAATCAAGAACGTATTATAATTTTTTCTCTTTAGCGTACTTATATCTACTAATGTAAACAATTATTAATGGAAGAATCATGAAATTATTTTATGGATAATACTTTTATGTATTACAGTCATACTTTAGGATCAATCGCAAGATTAAGTTATTTAAATGCTATATATATTTTTGTTTTTACACTGATCATAATCTGTATAGTTACTTTTCCGTATGAATCACTGGGAGTTTATGATCCACTATAAGTTATATCTATGTTGTTAACAACATTCCAAAGAGCTTTGATTTAATAGTCGCACTTTTGTGGTTCAATTTTTATCATTGAGTTTTTTTGATTGTAACTTGGAAAAAGGTTTACATTATGTGAAAATTGTTTAATCATATCTAACCGCTATTTTAAGGAAAATAGCGTTATGATTAGTAATTTAATTAATCCAACAATGAGAAATGTTCAATAATTTATTGTTATATATGTATACCTGCTTTATGGGATACAACTGTTAAATCGTAATAAAAAGAAGGTACTATATTTTATCAAATTGACTTGTCAGAAATATTTCAAGAGCAATCATGTTACATTGTAAATATACATGCATAGTAAACAATATGAGCTATCATTGTGCAAGTATGACTGTCTAAAGACGTGTCATAAAAAAAAGGAAGTCGACTGCTGCGATATATACTTGAAATGCCTGATTGTAAATAGTCTCATGATTCATTAATCAATATACATCCTGTTTATAAAATAAAAAGACGAAAAATATTTCTGAAATATTCCTTTTTGAAATTCAAAACCCTAAAGTACATATCACATGATACTTAAAAATATTAATCCATTATTTTCCATTAATAAACTGTTACAAAATTATACAAAAATTGACTAAGTTTATATTAAAGTGTTTCCTTTATTAATTTTACCTACGGCATGTATAACATATACGTGTTAAAATTATGTTTACGTATTAAATATTTTTCTTCACGATTATTATTCAGTGTACTAAATACATGTAAGATTTGTTATTAAATCCACAATCAAGTTCGTTTTAATACCGCTGTACTGAAATGTTTGAAAATTGCACTTTAAGTAATGAATGTTTTACATTAAATATATTTTAAGAAATCTGTCTTTTTTTTTTTTTAAATTTCTAATGAATGTCATAATACAATCACTTCTTTTTCTAATTCCCCGATAAGAAGTGATTGATATATCAAGGTAAAGTGTCGAGGAATATGTAGATTATATAATATCTGAAAATTAAAATTATTTTACAATGTATTTTATTTTTGGAAGAAAGTGGTAGTTTGTTTCAGAGGAAGAGCAGAAGTTTTCGGTCTCTCCTAAGCATCCAGAGGCTCTCCTTCTTTCAGCATCCAAAATTCTCTATTTTCTGAACTTCTCTGGCTTTCAAAAAATTGAAGAAAAAGCATTCTTTCATTTGACATCAACCTGCTGATTCTAATCGTAAGTTTTTAATTGAATTCGTACCGATATGTAATAATCAAATAAAGCGCTTGGATTAATTCTCACGTTTACTCATAGATGGTTATAGCGTTTGAAATCCACGAATCAACCAGAATTTAAAAATTAAAAGAAAATGATTTTAGAATACCAGGTATTGTACTTTTATATTCACTGAATGAACTGTAGATTCAAAGCAATCTGTTTATACTATTTTTATACATATCTTTTGGAATATAATTAATTTCAAAATTTAGTATGCATAGTATTATATAAAAATGATCAAAACACATTATAATAGTGTCCATCATTTAGGAATATTTAAAATAAATTTTTCAGTAGTTGAAGTCGTCGTGAATTTAAAATGTGTAAACAGAAGTGACTATTACTCAACTGAAATTCTTAAGATTTTAAGAAATGCTCTCGAGAGCTCTCGCGCGAATTTTACGGGTATGCACTTACAAGTACTACAATTTGAAAGAAATACATTTTTTTCTTTAATTTAACTTACTAATTATATACTATTTTATCGCATAAATGAATCACGAATAAATAAGATAGTATATAATTTGTAATCGATAAATAAATGACTCATTGGAAAATTATGTTAGTATAATTTTATTCCAACGAAACAGACTGTGAATATTTTTATGTTTTATGTTGCGTCGTCGTGAAAGCTCGTGGAAAATCAATAGCACTGTGAAAAGTACACGCTGACCAAGGGAACACACCATACTTCTCTATGAACATGTAATGACTAGGGTAGAATGCGTGATACGTTTTTCCACGAACTAATTCAGTAAGGGTACTACAATTACGTGCAATACCTGCAGGCTTTCCAATGAGTTTTTAATCGATACAAATCGACACGATACACGAACTGTTTTTGAAATACTATTATTGTATTACTCATAGTCCACATTTTTTTATTACAGAAATTTTTGAAGAAGATAACATTTTACTTTAGAATATGTAAGATATCGTTAAGAAGGAATATCAAATTATTAATTAAAAAATTTTTTGATAAAATCAATTGAAGGAAGTATAAATTATCAAATGCTAATTTTGGAAAGAAGAGTAATGCTTGAAGTTAAAATTATAATTAAGAAGAAATGAAAAGTAAGAGTTAGGTAAGACTATTTTTTTAGTCTTTAATTACTATTTAGTTATGAAGTTTAATAAGGATGTTCTAAGGACATGCTCTTGATTAGATGTACAATCTGTCCAAGGGTTTCTTTAAAGGAAACCTTTGAAAGAAGTAGCAAATGTGATTACTGAAATGGGACAGGCGGCCGGCTATAAAATCAACGAAGGGATCGAAGTGAAAGTGATACTTAGCAAAAGTGAATTGTGCCTGCCTTTTATGATTCCCATGGTGGGATCTGACCACGTTTGACTTACTCGTACATGGTTGGGTGGTGCAGTTTCCTTCGAGCGATCCTACCTCCAACACGATAATTTCCAATTTCGCGCTTATTAGTTTCATTATAGTAAGTGTTCCATTTCATCTGTATCCTTTCAAACGTTTAAATTTTTCTTTTGATCAATTTTGAGTGAAAAATCAACGATGCTAATAATTTAATTAAGTTTGATGAACTTAACATTTCAATTGGTCCATTTAGTTCTATTTAAAATTTTTAATAATTAGTTATCAAAACTTCTTTTTAAAATACTATATGTATACATAAATTTTTCAATGGTTTTGTAACATAATTATTTTTCTAATTTAAAATCGACGAAAGTCAAGAAGAGGTGGAGGAAGAATGAGCTTGACTATGAGGAACACGGCGATAGCCATTATCCTGGCTTCCTCAGTGTTTTTCGTTTATGGCCTCCCCGATGGTGCACCCGTGGACACCTGCGTGAAACCATCAAGACCCAACGAACCCCATCACGGGACAGCGAGATCACGTCCCGTTGAAACGAGCCCTTACTCCTTCACAGCATCATCATCTCAATATGGTCCTGGCTCGCAAATTACCGGTATGTTTATTGAATTATTTTTTAACAGTGTTATACTTAACACTTTAAGTGGTACAGTAGAGAAGGCAGGATAATATGTAGTCAGACACCTTATAATTACTCAGTATACGATCATTTTATTTTTCAAATTAATATTTCGACTTGATACCAGAACCGAATTAAGATTTCTTTCAAGCTCCAGGGCCCAGAATTATGAAACTTTCGGGGACCCTCTTGGTTCAAAAATTGAAATTTATTTTAAATGGAATTAAATAATTGTGACGAAAAAGGACAATAGTAAAAAAATTAATTCAGTATTTTTTGACATAGTAAATGGAAGGCTTGCAAGGGGGCCCGGAGCTATAGCCCTCTTGATCCGGTGCTACTTGACACCTTGTGTAAATAGTGTAATTTTAAAAATGAATTATCCATATTTATAATAATTAAAGTTAGATCTAAAGTTGATTAAAAGTTAAAAGTATTTAGAGAACATAGATGTGCGTTGAAAATCCAGTTTCTAATGGTTCATTTGCATTGTAACAATTGAAGGAAACACAAAGGAAAATGTCGTGCGAATAGAATGCATTAGCAAACATTAAGTGAAAACTGATTACAGGGAACAGATTGCACAATTTTTTCTCACAAAGCATCCTAGCACGTTCACTTGCAACACTGGCTATCAACAATCGTAAATCTCGTTGACTTTTCCGATCTTGCAACTTTTCTTCGCGATGAAAAGAATGTGTGGTAATGTAATCTGTGCCCATAACTCATTTGAAATAACGTTAATCATCTAGGCTATTACGAGAAGAGAGTAATGGCAGAGTCACCTTTATTACATACATATGCTTCTCTCATTTTCTACTTTTATAAATATCCTTTTCTACTTTTAAAGCATAGACTATTCTGCAAAATATATATAACTTGTGTTTGCACTAAAAAGTTTAATTAACGTATTAATTGCCACGATGGTCATCGATGATCAATTTAATTAAGTACTAATTTAATTAAGCATTCCTTGTTTAATAACATTCGAGCCACTCATTTGGCAAATCGATTAAATAAAATAAAGAAGATGAAAATGATTTGAAATTAAATTAAAATTGAGGCTCTCTCCATGGTCCGCCGTCTAAGGGTAATGATACCTAATTTCATATTTAAAGAAATTGATTCAAAAAGTGAAGTTAATTACTTTGGCCTGTGAACGGTCCCTTACATATTTTATTGCGAATTAACGATATAGGTAGACGAAGAACTATAAAGTCAGGAATGGATCGAAGCGAGAGGAGCTGAACAATCGATCCAATCAGCGAGGAACTTGAAACGCGTCTAAAACGCCTAACAATCGTGCATTCTGCGGTTCGCGGTTCGGCCTGCATGTTCAATCATCGGAATAATAGCGTCCGGTCAAAATTGTCGATGAAAAAAAAAAAAAGAAAGTCGTTCCTGACACACTGGCCTCCACGAAATTACGTGTCCAAAATTCATGTTATTCATGAAGTTTGTTATCGCGTTATATTGAGCTCGCGCGAGACCCGTGTTTGCGTAAACTCGGCCGATCAACCGTTTGCTCTAACTAAAATGTCAGCTTAGTGATTCACTAACCGGTCCTCGTGCCATATTTTCAAGCATTTTCTATAATGTCCATCAAGATGAAGCAATGAAAGACCACTCGTGGGATTCTTATTCGAACAGAAGTATCGAAAGACTTTTTAGAGGAAAGTCATACCGCGACGTCTGGGGTTGAATTTAAATAAATGAGATTCAAGGAATTTTCTTTAGATATTTTATTGTAATTTGTGGCGAGTGTTTTTGTCCGAATGATAGCAAGTAAAAAGTCTGCAGGAAAAAAAGAATTGCTCCTTTGGGTCAAACAACTTTTTCGTATCTCATTTAGGACAAAACTATGTGTAGACGATGTTGCACAATCGATCAGCTCGATGTGTAAATATGTAGCAGAATAAATTCCACGTTCTGGTTTTTCATTCACTTAAGAAACTCGTTTCAAAAAGACAGATATGCGACAGCCTAACATGTCTGCTAAACACATTCCAACATCAAGTAATTCGCCCACATATTGCATGCTCACAATGCATATTGCATTTGCACATTTTATGCACTTCGAATGCACTTTGATGTTTTTCATTTGATATCACGATTAAGACATTGATTGCTAGTTTAATTTAATCAAATATGATTTATAAGATAATTTGATAGCCTTCTATTTTATGCTCTTAGATACTCGAATATTAAAATTCGAAATTTTATGCTTTCATCAGACATAGAAGCACGCTTAGCTACCTGACCACCCTAATTGTGTTCCTTTGTCGCTTTTATATATAATAACGCGTATCGATCAAAAGAGAAAAGAAAAAAGGCGTATGGTCAGAGTAGAGAATTACTGTGTCGATGAAAAGGGAAAAGCACAAAGAGTTCGGAGCACGAGTGAACGAACCCTGATTGCAATTTCGATAGATACTTGAAAAACTTGTTCCGCTGTCTGTTTCGTTTACGAGTTTTTCGAGTAACTTCGAATTCTCCGATCACACGGTCAGATGTTGGTAAAATCCATTGCGAAATAAATTTCGTTTCATTTCTGAAATTATCTGATAAGAAATTCCTTATCCATTGCTTAATACATTTGAAGAAAAAGTTATAGAGTTAGTAAGTTTATCGCCACTAAAGAAATAAAAGAAATTGACCGTGACATAACGCAATAAAACAACCCTGACCGTGAACCACTTTAGTTTAAACGACGTTTACTCACGTTCTTAATAATTCATAATGAATCGCTTAGAATGCCTTCTCAGCATTACTATAGAAAAAAGAAGTAGGAGAAATCAGTAGGAGAAATCGTTCGAAAGGGGTGATTCTCATCTGAATGGAAATACAGGTAGCTGGAGAAGCAATGAATGTTCCTCTTATCAGGAGTGTACTTCACGGTGATTAATCTACAACTAACTTGTCCTTCCTCAATCACTTGGAACATTCGTCGCCAGGACAATTAGAGTGAAATAGAGAAGGACGAGGAAGACGATGAATAACGCGAATTCTAGCATCCTATGTTTACTTAAATATGTAAAACGTGATCTAAATTTGAAAAATTCATATTTGAATGTATTTTATTGATTTAAACAAATTTTATTTAATGCAGCGAATTTTGATATAGGGGGACCTTGGTTTATTAATGAAATTTTTGCTGTAGATTCGTATTTCAGTTAACCCTTTTGTTTTTCAGTGACTATCAGTGGCGCACCGTTCAAAGGATTCTTCATTCAGGGACGCGATCCCGATACAAACAGCTGGATCGGTTCCTGGGCTCAGACCGAGAACACTAACACCCACCCCGAGTGCAGTGCAGTGACACATGCTGATCCCGAGGTGAAACAACACGCGACGCTTATTTGGAATGCACCGCCGAATTCTCGAGGACGAGTATATTTCACGTGAGTAAAGATTTACTTCTTAGGAAGGAGATAGAGGTGTCTATTTGTTATTTGAAATTCAATAAGAACTTGGAGAATGTGAATTTCATGAAAGTATTCGGTTTAGTATTAGCTGAATAAATTGCATCAGCCAGCGAACGAACGACATTATTTATTTTACTTTATGATTAAGAAATATTCGTGAAATAGCAAAGACGTTTATTACATTCGCAGCCAAGCTACAGAGTAAAAGGAATAATCACAGACAAGCCCGAGTTGGAATAGTAATTACTAACCACACCCACAGGGTAATAACACACTGGGAAAGTGGATACTGTGGGCGAAAAGTCCACCTTTGTTTAAATTAAATGTAAATATTTGAACTTACACAGGAAAAAGTGTCCATTATCTAATCAATTAAAATCAAACATAACAGTCAGTAAATATTACTATATTTTCTAATTACTTAACCCTTGAAAATATAGAAAATTAAAATAATATGAAATACGAAATTAAATTAAAATTGGGGCTCTCTCCATGGTCCGCCGTCCGAGACACAGATCTTATTCGTACAAGGGAAGTTTATAAAACAAAAAACCTTTTCTCGCTATAATAAAAAAATACAAAACACCTAAACCTCGACATAAAATTATCAAATTAATTAATTTTACTAATAATCCTTTGTCTCTCGAAGATTAAACGATTTTATGCGATTCATGGTCGTTTAGAATAGAAAACACGCGTGTATTTAATTTCCCCGGGAACATTGCGTTACACAAGTTGCAACGAGGACGAAGGATTTCCCACTTCGACAGAGGATAACGCAATAAGACTAATTGTACATCGTTAGCCGGTGGAAATAATCATTTCCGCCGGTCGATTGCCCGCGAATGAACCCGTACACGCCAGGCTTGCTAATAAGCCATCGAATTTCCCGGGTACATTAGATGCCAGAAAGTTCACATACGAGGTTGAAAAGGTTCGGATGAATTGCTCGGGCTCGGTGCACCCTCGTTGAATCGTTTTTGAACCAACCAACTTTTTTTCTACCACCGCGGAAAGGGTTACCGTGAACGAGAGTCTAAGTTTCTTTCTCGTTTCGTATCTGTGTCATGTCATTTTTTTTTCTGTTTTTGTTTTAAACAACTGGCATGTATAGTCGGTCCAATGAGACGAGTTACTTATTGTTAGTATATGTTTACAAATTCATGCGCTCGACGCATGGTCGGAGCCCAGTTGTTTCCAGTTCTTCAGACACTTCGGTCAAGGTATACTGTGAGTCGTGCCTGCTTCGAGCACGTGAATTTGTACGTATTTACTGTTTAAAATATAAATTACATTATATAGCGCAAATTTTTGGTAGATCGTTCTTCTATTGCGAAAATTAACATTCTTTCTGAGGAATAGAATTGCATTAACGAAGCCGCTTTTTCAGAAAATTATTATTCATTAAAATAGTCTAATTCGTTAATCTTTTTAATTGCAGTGGAACCATTTTGAAGGAGTACGCAGAGTTCTGGTCCAACCTGGTAGCTACAACGGGTCACTGAAGATATTCCCCAAATTGTTGCGAATTGTCAACAATCTGCGAATATTGTGATTCACGAGCGGGCAAGAGAAAATTATGGTATCTCCATGTAAAGTATTTTATCTATTTTTTATACTATGAAATACAGAAAGATAAATATAGAAAATATACAATTTTTATTCTCGATGCAACGTCAAATTATAAGCTTCCGTGAGATGTTAATGATCAAAGACTAATTACGTTTCTATCGATCAACGCGAGGAACTTTCTATTTTCATTGTCAGGAAACCAGCTTAATTATGCCATTAAGCAAACGTCTTTGACCTGTCAGATGCAGTTGCGTAATGTCCGAGTGATTGTCGGGCGTTAAACGCCTGGTGGGTGTAGTTTATAACCCATTCAGGTTAGTTTGTTTCGCCCAAAATCGAAACTCTTTACGCCGACGAAGAGTTAGGCGTCGGATCCACGCTATCGGTTTGGTCACGGTCCGTTCACAATCCGCTCTCAGTCCGCGCATAATCCGTTCACGGTCCGATCCCGGTCCGATTCCGATCAATCACGAACAATATTTTCCTGGAGCATAACTGCACTTTTCGTGTTGCAAAGCGTACGTTTTCGAAGCCTGGGAATCGTAAGTTTTCGAGCTCAGGTACCGAAAACAATTTTCTTTTTGCGCGGAATCTTTCCTGACTTTCCTCGGGTCTTCCGTACCCGATTCAATGATTGGCAAACCATGAGAAGGTAATTTATCCTTGCTCGACGCCATGGGGGGTGATGGCTGCTGGGCAATGAATTTATTTATTTTATTTAAGATCGGCCGGTATAAGCAGAAGCTTGGGAACGGCAGAGCAGGTTTGAAACCCCACAAGCCTCAAATTACACAATAACCTGTCCGATTGATCGATTGTACATGACGACCTGTTCGGTTTCTCTTAATAATCCGCTTTGCCTCAAGCTACTTTACAGGTGTGTAATCGCGCGAGAAGTAGTGGATAAGTGTAAAGAAATAGCTCGTTTGGGATTTAACACTTTCGTTTTAATACTTTGTATATTTTAGAAAGAAACGCAATGAAAATTAATTGAAAGAAAATATTAATTATGATCGCTATCAATTTCTTTGATACAAAATTGGAAATTTTTAATTATTAATTAGCACGAATATTAATGAAAATCTTGCAAATATTAATAATCTTAATAAGAATTCTTACCAACACTTATTTATGAAAATTTATAAAATTTCAGAATTTGTTATGCTGAATCATGCGAATACAATTGAATGTCCATCAGCATCACTTTCCATTCAACAAATCTCCAAAATCTATTATTAAGAAGAATTCACCAAAAAAGTATTGATATAGGTGAAAGCTGTGCCTTGAACAGGCTATTTATCAAGTCGACAAATTTTCCAGTTTATCATATTGAGAAGAAATTGATCTGAAGCAATTCTAATAAATGATCGGTTCGTGTTTAGAAGTTCAATGTTCAGAAAAACGATTTGTCAGATATACTTCAAAGATTTTCATCGAATCACCTAAAAGTAACATGAAACCCGATAAAAATCAATATTTCTATTCAATGAACTTCCATATGTTATCCGATATAAGAAAAATTGATTTCTAAGAAGAAATAATGATTTTTAATCAATTGAATTTTATTTTAATACAGATTGATCACCACGAAGGAAGTTGATAAAAGACATACTTTTAATGGTCATCATTTATCAAATCAAAGTCCTTCAATTCTTTACACCGTCGGGAAATCGATCCAACCTTATCTTACCAAACAGTTTCGTCTCGCGAAAAGTCTGAACCTTTGACAGAATGATTTGCAACAGATGCTATCCTGTTTCAGGCTTCTCCTTGAAACTTGCACAACACTCAGTCCCGAAGGACTCGTGGAAATGAAGTGTTTCAACGTTTCCTTAAGCAAGATCCGCGTTACGAATGATACATTAGAAATGGTGGAAAAGTTGGCGGTAAAAGTGTTCGCTTTTCGAAAAGTTTCTTCAAAATTACCCAGAGGGATCACCGCGAGAAGTTTTGAACAAAGTATGGATGGAACCTGGCAAGATTGCCACTGAGATAGGAAAGTAGACAATATTCCTTGATATTAAAAAAGTAAATAGTAAAATATTGTAAATAATAATCCCTCTGTTTAACACGTTGAATGCCACGGGGATTACAGGTGACTTTTGAGAAATTAAATAATTATTAATCATTAAAAACTTTAGGTGCTAAATGGTAAGGATATTAATTTTTAAGTCGATTCTTTTAAGTTTTGATATTTTAATAATATTAACAGCAAATTATACATAGAAAACAGTAGAAAAATATTATTTTATAACAATATTGCTAGTATATTAATAACGTAAGGTAGTAAATTGAAACCCTCACATTTGAAATTAATTATTCCTATTCTTATCATTTTCACTACAGCAATCAACGTGTTAATAATACTAAAATTGTACTATATCCTCTTTTTTTTTTATTTAACTAAACAAGTATTGCATTCTCTGTGAAAAACTTAAGAAACACTTTTTGCGTAAGTGTAACACGTTTACTGTAATGGAAACCGTTTTAGCCATCTTGCTCTTCAAGTGTGCCCGCTGAGACAAGTTGGCTGATACGGACAAAAGATGGTTGCCACACGTATCCATAGAGGGTTTAGCCGTTTCTTCACCGGACACCGTTAATGGAACTCAGCACGCTTTTACGCGAGTAGAAGGATTGAGAGACACAATGTTACGCAAGAGCAGTTGGTCGGTAAAAGTGGGTCGTTCTCATAAGGGAGGCTTGATAACTTTAAAACCGATCTTGTCGATACTTTGCAATTCTATTTTCGACATTTGACTCGAAATTTCGATAGAACTCGTATCACCTAATATAGAAACCCTTCTATTCCATTACTAACGTCAAGTTGTACAGCTGCGCAATTTATGATTCAATATTCATTAAGCTTTTCACAGATATTAGCTATAGAAATTGACTATAAAAGTTGATAAGAAAATATATCCGAGGATAATAACGAGATTATCTTTTATAAACGTTGATAAAAACTGTGATTCTCGTCTTTTATCGCAGACTTCAACTGACACGTTTGATCGACTTATCTTCGCTGTGTCTCCGATGGGATCAAATAATAATCGATTCGTACCAAAAATCGACAGCAATCAGAATAGTATAACGTACTGCAGATAAAAATTTGAAAGGTCAGTAAAAATGTGTCCAAAAAAAAAAACATCCCCTCCCTATTCTAGAAATTTTTAAAATATTTCCTCTGTCCGTAGAAATATTTTTTTTTAAGTAATATCGTTATAACATTTTGAGAATATTCTAGATAAGAAAAATAAATTTCCATCCCCGCCGCATAGTCTGCGAAGGATTGACCGAGTCTGACCGCGTCTCGTTGAAACCGCGGTCGGATGGTTGGCAGGGCAGGGGGGTTCGGTCGTTTCCGTATCGTATGCGCCGCCTCGACCCCCTTCCGTGAACGACTCGGTTGACGACGACCTGTTCCTCGCCTGGGATCATGCATATTTACGTTGCGGCGTAGAACATCGACGGCTAGCTGTTTCGTCGAGGAATGACTCAGAGGCTCTGCACCCCTGCGACGTTCGCAGGGCGAAGGTGGACGCGGTAGGGGGTGCGAAACGTGCTGGTTCTCGCGTGCATTGCGCAGGACGCCGGCGCCCTGGCGTCGTTGCCACCCCCCGACCGACTCGGTCGTTGTTTGCTGGCTTCACATCGCGAACGACCGCGTACACACAGCATCGCGAAGCTGCTGGTTACGTTTCCTTCCACGTTTTCCGCTCGTCTATTTTATTTCACGCGATAAAACGAAAGTAACATCCCTCAGCCGTCAGATCGAACCAGTGAATCGTTGTTGCGTAGTAAAAATTTGATCAGTTCGATGAAGTAGCAGTGAACTGTTTCCTATGAACCTGTCGTTCAACGGGTGAGAGAGTGGGGTGGTGGTTGCGGTAAAACGTTTCGCCGTGTATACGGACCTTTTCTTCTTCTTCTTCTTCTTTTTCTCTGTCTCGTTTTTTGTTCGAGGGCATATCTCGAACCGGTGCAGAAGAGGCACGGGGATCAGAAGAGGTGGAGGATAAAATCGAGGGTGCTCGTGATTTCTCCGGTTGGTCTGCGTGAACGGTGACGAGGAACGTGCGGAAGTATGCGCGTGCTATCGATCACGGGGGCTGATCGCGCGGATATGTGATACCGGAAGTAGGTACGGCAGGCTTGACCTGCGTAGGTCAGGTGCTCGAAGGGTGCGTATGCGTATATTGGGCTGAGCAACGACAGGAACGAAGGGTGCGCGAGAGGAGCCGCGTGTCAGGGCCAGTCGTGAAGATGCACGCCACCGACGCCGTCGCCGCGACGGCGTCCTTGCCGTCATCCACGTCGTCCATCGGCTTCAGGAAATCGAACTTGGCTGCCAGACTAGTCTGCACCGTCCTCGTGTCCTGTTGGATCGTACAGGATCAGCTGGCCCTCGGGATGTCCGAACCACCGGAGGTCACCACGATCGAGGGTAAGCCTTCTAGCTCGGTTCTTTTCCATGTGTTTCCGGTCAGCTTCGTGACGGAACTCGATGGAACTTTCGGACCATCAGATAAGTCAATTTTAACGGAACTTTGTTGAAGTTTCGGTAGGAGCTTTGGAATCATTTTAAACTAAAAATAAGTTGAATTTAATAGTATCGTTGAATATCGAGATATCCAGTGAATCTGTGAATATTAAGAATGAAATGGAGGTTGAAAGTTTAATCATTAGATTGAGGATATTCGTGCAAATATTATCTTTCTCCGCAGTCCATTAATAATGAAACAATTTTATCACAGTGGAAGATAATTTCATTTTAAAAGTAAATTAATACCAGAGTAATAATTTCTTATTTTTTAATAAGATAAATTGCAACGTTGAAATATCATGGTTCGTTCATTATTCAAATATTTAAATTGTTATTACTGACGCAAGCAACCGTAAGAAAAAGTAGGTGAAAGTCTTCATAAAAGCAGTTCAATTCCACTTTATCGTTGAACGTTTTTATCTTCGAGTTAACAAAACGTCTATTTATCATTTAAATAGAGCAGAGTTTGTATCGACCGTCTTCGGTTTGCATTTCTCGAACAAATATTATTGCACTATCAATCGGGAGACGACGTGTCGATCGATGTCAAGATACTCCGCATTTTTAAGCCTTTACACGGAGCAGCGGAACACGTATGCTCGACGGGCGTACAATAAACCCTTTTCGCACGACCGAACATGGCTATTTATTTACAACCGACCCATATACATTTTACGAGCTTTCAAATGGTGTCGCTGATCCGATAATCCTTAATGCGCCTTGCTAAAGCCCAATTGATTATGGCTGAAACGATGCTTCTGTTGGCAATCAAAATGATATTATAGATATCTCTTTACAAGCACCGTTTGTTCATCGAAATCATGAAAATTTAATTCCCAATTTTCTTGAAATTTGGAAAATGGAAATTGAAATTTTAATAGTTTGGCTACCACGTGTTAGAAAAATATTGTTATAAATATTTGCTAAAAATAAAAATTCACTTTGTAAAGTCTCTTAGAATTTTCAATTTATAATAAAATGATTAAAATCAGTGTTTAATTGAGATCATAAAAGTGAAGTGTCTATTTCTCTATCAAAATGTTACCCCGGTTTCTTTTAAGGATAAATGTCAACCACCAGACCTTTCCGGGACATTGTAAACGGAGCTTAATGCCTTCTCAGATTTGTAACTTCAATCATTCATCCAAGAGGCTCGGTTTATTTCTCTTCCTACCCCTTCGCTTTGTGCTCTCATTTACGTCCTTATTTCCTGGCGAATAAGCTCGTGTTTCCTCTTTCCAATCGTTAAATCCAAGCGAATTGCCCCGGCAATATCTCAGCGTTCCCTGAATTCCTTCAGGATTCGACGATCTCGCGTTAATCTCTTAATTCCATCGTGCCACGGATACGGTTGGCACATTTTGAACGGAAATTTATTATGACCATTTCCGGCCTCTGTCGTCGCTGAATTGATAATCCGTCTGCTAGCCGATTCCTTTAGAAAAACAGCTCGTATACTTTTGCCTTTTGTCCGCAGTTTCTATCGCGACTCATTGGTATCCTTTTTCCTTTTGTTACTTCGATAACAGAATCACTCAGCGTTACTTAGTTATTCACAAAGCTGTGCTTCTGATCAAATTATAGATCCTTATTGAAGGAAGATAATAATTTTTTCAATACTTCGTTATATGAAATTGGAGATAGATTCTCAATTCAAATGAATTACCATTATTAAACTACTATCGTAGAATAGGACACTCCGTAATAATTCACAAGTACTTAAGGGAAAAATTGACCCACTAAACCTTTATGTCATTTTAATTATTATCTATAAAATAAGCTTCTTGTGGAAATTGGTTTTATGGTTACTTTAAAGCTTTTCATTAACACATTAAAGGCCATAAGGGTCGCCTCAAATTACTCATGCTTGAATAATTAAAAGAAAACAATAGAAAATCATTATTTTAAATAATGTTGCTATCGTGCAAATAATATAAAATAGCAAATAGAAAGCTTGAAATTTGAAAATTAATTATTCTTGTTCTTAATAATTAGAGCTTCAATGCGTCCCAAAACAAATGTCCATTTTCACTTGTGCCATTCAATGTGTTAATGTTAGGCTGTGGTTAATTATCACATCCCAAAGCATGATTACAATAGTCTGGAAAGATTGTAAAAACATTTTTAAAGAAAAAAATAATGCCATATGTTGGTCCTCGTTCCACCGAATGGCTCTGTTTACTGCACCAATCCTAAATGCTAAGGAGTTTATATCGATCGTCGAACGAGAAACACTTCGCCTCTGCAACTGTTATCCTTCTTTTCCTTTTTTCGCGACAGACTATTTCTATCGAACGAATCTCGATACTCTATCTCCAAAGGAAGATCAAGATGTCGAGAGCATACTTCCGTCAATCGAGCAGTCCTTTCGAAAACCATCCATCTTTGTCCACTAGTGTTTCATTGAAAAAAATACAAAAATAAAATAAAATAAAAAAAACAACAAAGTCGACTCGATTTTCGATGAAAGCATTTAATGAAGCTAATTGAACGGTGGCTCGTTGACGTTCCTGGATATTGATTTTAATAGAAGCGTTTTATTTAGGTACAGCCTTGATCCTGCAATGCGCAACGAGGCGATACGAATTTTCCGTTACTATAAAAGGTCAATATTTTCCAATGGTTTTTAACGTGTATATAGTGATTCGAACAACTCCGATGGCGTTATTCAAAATGCATTAGCAATCAAAATACACTTTCATACGCTCTGCCGTATTGTTGGCTGCCATTACACATGCACGTGGTTTTGTACGGCACAGCTGTGTTGTGGTGCATTTGCAAATTGCGCAAGGATAGGGTTGTAACCACCACTGCAGTAAAACGTTCAATTTTATTCCTAGCTGTCCCACATTATCAAAGTGCAGCCAACGAAACGCTTAATTAAATGCATTAATCTAGGATAATTTGTTTGGACCCAGGCTGAAACGTTCCAATTTTGTCACGGAAATAAAATTATTTATGGATTTGTATGCATCGTAGGGTTTATTGTGTTATTGCAGTTTTTGAAATTGCAAAGTGCATCTGGTGCAGTAGAATAGATATATGGAATCAAATTTTAGGGTTCATGGATTAAATAGGATATATGGAATGAGAATTATCTTCTAAAATATATTTGCAATTTTATAGTTGTTTTTGTACCTAATAGGGTATATTCTGTTAAATGATTAATTCTTTAATTGTAATTAGTGATGAAATTTTAGGGTTCAGAGATTAAATAGGAGATGTGGAATGAGAATTATCTTCTAAAATATGACTTCTGCAATTTTATATTTATTTTTGTACCTAATAGGATATATTCTGTGAAATGATTAATTCTTTAATTGTAATTAGTGTCTAAAAATATCCTTGATGATTGAAAATTTTCTAAATAAAAAATTGCCATGAAATCACCACTGAAGATAGAAAATGAGCGAAGGTACGACTATAGCGGAGATTATTTCGCGAAGGTACATGGAATGAAGTCTTTTATTTTCACGTATTACATTGTCACGAGCTCGAAAATGGCATCATGCCAAGTTAACCCTAAACAAACCCTAAACAAGTTCGCATTGGATGCTTCCTCCAGGTATCGACTTTCGAGCATCAGGTTGTGAATAAATATTCCATATGACCTCATCTACCGTTTCTTTCGAACAATCCAAAAACCAATAAACAGGATCTGATTAATTTTCCCATAGGCGGTTCAGTAATTTGCTATTTTAATGAAATAAACAAACGTTTTCTATGCAAATTGGAAACAATAGATCGTTTCAACGCGAGACTTAATTTTTTTTTACCATTCCACGTTGACAACGGTGTAATTGTATAATTAAACAGTGAGGCACCAAGGGAGGGCAATTAATCGTGCAGGCATTTACCGCAAAGCTCGTCGAGCATATTTAAACTGTAACGATCTCTGGTTGTGCAAGCCAATTAAAATACATTTTCGATTATAATCGTACGAAACATTTAAGCAATGGCAAATGTTCCGTACTAAGCCACGGTATCATGCCTTGATACAAGCACTTTCGTGGCACTCGTGCGTGCAAGGATTACCTTGGTAAGAATTGTCGGCTTCGGATACCCCCCTGCGGTTAATCGATAGAAAATTATATTATATCGTTCGCTATTACACCGGTGGCACCCTTGAATTTATGCGACACAGTTGCAGAGAAATGTTCGCGGCCACCAAATCCATTCGACACGTTAACGAATTAAGTGACTCATCCGTGGCTTTTGTTCGATCTAATTGCACCGAGGGATGTTACCTTCGATGTTCCCTGTCGATCCTGACGAAACATGAAATTGACCCTGACCAAGCTCGTCGATGTGTTGCTTCAATCCCTTTTTAGATTACAGGGGTTGCAGTTTTAAATTAACCATGCTTCGAATTTATTTTATTAAATTTTAGAAATTGTAACTCAAATTAATTGGCATTTTCCAATTTAGTAAACTGGGGCTTAAAAAGAAATAATGGCCCCTGGAGAAATCAAGAGTTTTTAGTTTTAAACTAAACATGCTTTGAATTTTTATTTATTAAATTTTAAATATTGTAAATTAAATTAGTTTATATTTTGCAATTTAATAAATTGGTATTTAAAAAAAATAATGGCTTCAGGAAAAAATCAAGAGTTTCTATTTTGTTAGGAAAAGAATTATGCTTGGAAATTGTTCCAGGAAATTTCATTTCTAATAGTGAAATTATGAAGTTAGAATAAAGTTAATGTATTGTTTCTCTTGCCGTAAAGATGAAAGATAAAAAGCAAACGGTGCTCTGGGAATTGAATCGAATTAATTAACTTGCTCTGGCTAATTGATGCAACGAGCCTCGAGGTAATTTGATAAGCCTCCTTTAAAGCTGTATACTTGCGAATCGTGTTAAAAATTCAAATGAGAAGGAATTCAAAGAAATTCAAAGCTGC